GCTTGTTCTATCTAGGATGGAATATTGCTGCACACTAACAGCACCTTTCAAGGCAGGTGAAATTGCTGACCTAGAAAATGTACAGAGAACCTTCATGGCACGCACAACGGAGATAAAGCACCACAATTACTGGGAGCGCTTGAAGTTCCTGAACCTGTACTCCCTGGAACACAGGTGGGAGAGATACACGATTATATACACCTGGAAAATCCTAGAGGGACTAGTACCAAACTTGCACACGAAAATCACTCTCTACGAAAGCAAAAGACTTAGCAGACGATGCAACATCCCCCCAATGAAAAGCAGGGGTGTCACTAACACGTTAAGAGACAACACAATAAGTGTCAGGGGCCCAAGACTGTTCAACTGCCTCCCGGCATACATAAGGGGGATTACCAATAGACCCCTGGCTGTCTTCAAGCAGGCACTGGACAAGCACCTAAAGTCGGTATCTGACCAGCCGGGCTGTGGCTCGTACATTGGATGTGTAGCCAGCAGTAACAGCCTGGTTGACCAGGCTCTGGTCCACCATGAGTCCTGATCACAGACCGGGCCGCAGGGGCACTGACCCCCGGAACTCTCTCCAGGTAAACTCCAGATGTTGTCAACTGGTGAGAGTCGCATCCTGGGACAAAACTGACCTAATTTGCCCGAAATGCTCTGCATAACAAGAGGCTTTCTATATTAGTAGTATGTCACTGATATCAGCTAGGCCTGTATACCTTGTACATTTACTTGTAGAAATAAAGACATTATTATTATTATTATTTTTTTTTTTTTTTCAACAAGTCGGTCGTCTCCCACCAAGGCAGGGTGACCCAAAAAAAGAAAGAAAATCCCCAAAAAGAAAATACTTTCATCATCATTCAATACTTTCACCACACTCGCACATTATCACTGCTTTTGCAGAGGTGCCCAGAATACAACAGTTTAGAAGCATATACGTATAAAGATACACAACATACCCCTCCAAACTGCCAATATCCCAAACCACTCCTTTAAAGTGCAGGCATTGTACTTCCCATTTCCAGGACTCAAGTCCGACTATATGAAAATAACCGGTTTCCCTGAATCCCTTCACTAAATATTACCCTGCTCACACTCCAACAGATCGTCAGGTCCCAAGTATCATTCGTCTCCATTCCACTCCTATCTAACACGCTCATGCACGCTTGCTGGAAGTCCAAGCCCCTCGCCCACAAAACCTCCTTTACCCCCCTTTCCAACCCTTTCGAGGACGAACCCCTACCCCCTCTTTCCTTCCCCTATAGATTTATATGCTTTCCATGTCATTCACTTTGATCCATTCTCTCTAAATGACCAAACCACCTCAACAACCCTCTTCTGCCCCTGACTAATGCTTTTATTAACTCCACACCTTCTCCTAATTTCCACACTCCGAATTTTCTGCATAATATTTACACCACACATTGCCCTTAGACAGGACATCTCCACTGCCTCCAACCATCTCCTCGCTGCTGCATTTACCACCCAAGCTTCACATCCATATAAGAGTGTATGGTACTACTATACTTTCATACATTCCTTCTTTGCCTCCATAGATAACGTTTTTTTGACTCCACATATACCTCAACGCACCACTCACCTTTTTTCCCTCATCAATTCTATGATTAACCTCATCCTTCATAAATCCATCCGCCGACATGTCAACTCCCAAGTATCTGAAACATTCACTCTTCCATACTCCTCTCCCCCAATTTGATATCCAATTTTTCTTTATCTAAATCATTTGATACCCTCATCACCTTACTCTTTTCTATGTTCACTTTCAACTTTCTACCTTTACACACATTCTCAAACTCATCCACTAACCTTTGCAATTTTTCTTTAGAAATCTCCCATAAGCACAGTATCATCAGCAAAAAGTAACTGTGTCAATTCCCATTTTGAATTTGATTCCCCGTAATTTAATCCTACCCCTCTCCCGAACAACCTAGCATTTACTTCTTTTACAACCCCATCTATAAATATATTAAACAACCATGGTGACATTACACATCCCTGTCTAAGACCTACTTTTACCGGGAAGTATTCTCCCTCTCTTCTACACACCCTAACCTGAGCCTCACTATCCTCATAAAAGCTCTTTACAGCATTTAGTAACTTACCACCTATTCCATAAACTTGCAACATCTGCCACATTGCTCCTCTATCCACTCTATCATATGCCTTTCTAAATCCACAAATGCATATAAAAACTTCCCTACCTTTATCTAAATACTGTTCACATATATGCTTCAATGTAAACACTTGATCTACACATCCCCTACCCACTCTGAAGCCTCCTTGCTCATCCGCAATTCTACATTCTGTCTTACCTCTAATTCTTTCAATTATAACCCTACCGTATACTTTTCCTGGTATACACAGTAAACTTATTCCTCTATAATTTTTACAATCTCTTTTGTCCCCTTTCCCTTTATATAAAGGGACTATACATGCTCTCCGCCAATCCCTAGGTACCTTCCCCTCTTTCATACATTTATTAAACAAAAGTACCAACCACTCCACTGCTTTTAACATTTCTGTCATGATCCCATCAGTTCCAGCTGCTTTACCCCCTTTCATTCTACGTAATGCCTCACGTACCTCCACCACACTTACAATTCTGCTCTTCTTCACTCCTAAAAGATGGTATACCTCCCTGGCCAGTGCATGAAATTACCGCCTCCCTTTCTTCCTCAACATTTAAAAGTTCCTCAAAATATACTCGCCATCTACCTAATACCTCCCTCTCCCCATCTACTAACTCCCCTACTCTGTTTTTAACGGACAAATCCATACTTTCCTAGGCTTTCTTAACTTGTTTAACTCACTCCAAATTTTTTTTCTTATTTTCATTAAAATTTCTGACAGTGCCTCTCCCACTCTTTCATCTGCTCTCCTTTTGCACTCTCTCACCACTCTCTTCACCTTTCTTTTACTCTCCATATACTCTGCTCTTCTTATAACACTTCTGCTTTGTAAAACCTCTCGTAAGCTACCTTTTTTCTCTTTTATCACACCCTTTACTTCATCATTCCACCAATCACTCCTTCTTCCTCCTGCCCCCACCTCCTATAACCACAAACTTCTGCCCCACATTCTAATACTGCATTTTTAAAACTATTCCAACCCTCTTCAACCCCCCATACTCATCTTTGCATAGCCCACCTTTCTGCCAATTGTTGCTTTTATCTCGCCCGAACTTCCTCCTCCCTTAATTTATACACTTTCACCTCCCTCTTACTTGTTGTTGCCACCTTCCTCTTTCCCATCTACCTCTTACTCTAACTGTAGCTAAAAACTAAATAATGATCTGATATATCAGTTGCCCCTCTATAAACAGTACATCCTGGAGCCTACCCATCAACCTTTTATCCACCAATACATAATCTAACAAACTACTTTCATTACGTGCTACATCATACCTTGTATATTTATTTATCCTCTTTTTCATAAAATATGTATTACTTATTACCAAATTTCTTTCTACACATAGCTCAATTAAAGGCTCCCCATTTACATTTACCCCTGGCACCCCAAATTTACCTACTACTCCCCCCATAACATTTTTACCCACTTTAGCATTGAAATCCCCAACCACCATTACTCTCACACTTGATTCAAAACTCCCCACGCATTCACTCAACATTTCCAGAATCTCTCTCTCTCCTCTACACTTCTCTCTTCTCCAGGTGCATACACGCTTACTACAACCCACTTTTCACATCCAATCTTCATTTTACTCCACATAATCCTTGAATTTATGCATTTGTAGTCCCTCTTTTCCTGCCATAGCTTATCCTTCAACATTATTGCTACTCCTTCTTTAGCTCTAACTCTATTTGAAACCCCTGACCTAATCCCATTTATTCCTCTCCATTGAAACTCTCCCACCCCCTTCAGCTTTGTTTCACTTAAAGCCAGGACATCCAGCTTCTTCTCATTCATAACATCCACAATCATCTCTTTCTTATCATTTGCACAACATCCACGCACATTCAGACTTCCCACTTTGACAATTTTCTAATTCTTATTCTTTTTAGTAATCTTTACAGGAAAAGGGGTTACTAGCCCATTGTTCCCAGCATTTTAGTTGACTTTTACACCACGCATGGCTTACGGAGGAAAGATTCTTATTCCACTTCCCCATGGATATAAAAGGAAAAGTAATAAGACCAAGAACTATTAAGATAAAATCAAAGAAAACTCAGATGAGTGTGTATAAATAAACGTGTACATGTATGTGTAGTGTGACCTAAGTGTAAGTAGAAGTAGCAAGACGTACCTGTAATCTTGCATATTTATGAGACAGACAAAAGACACCAGCAATCCTACCATCATGTAAAACAATTACAGGCTTTCATTTTACACTCACTTGGCAGGACGGTAGTACCTCCCTGGGTGGTTGCTGTCTAGCAACCTACTATTATTATTATTATTATTATTATTATTATTATTATTATTATTAAGGATGACTGAAGTCTGCACACTTCTGGCAAGACAACTAGTGAATGATTTTTTTTTTTTTTTTTTGGCGTCACGTTACGTGGATGAGAGAACCGGTGTACTTTTGTTAGATGATCCAATGTTTCCCTAAAATTATAACCATAGACATTGTAAAGCTATTCAATGTATTCTAACACAAAATTTTTTTGTCTTGATCCCACCACCTTCTACGCTGCTGCTCAGCTGAAAGGAATTAACACGGTGAGCAGGGACCGAATGTTTCAGAGATAGGATACATGAACAGGAGGGCACAACTGCAAGTTGAAAACTAGACGAGTCCTAAGGATGTTATGTAGTATTTCTTCAGCCTTAGGATCGTCAGAAATTGGAACAATCTAGAGTGTAGTAGTAAAGGCGGAATCCATACATAGCTTTAAGAAGTAAGGTAAGGGCTCTTGGGGCCAGGAGCATATGGACTTGGTAGCGACCAGTGAAGAGGCAGGGGCCAAGAGCTGTAACCTAACTCCTGCAACAACATATAAGAGTACCTTCAATAAGTTGGTCAAGCATGGCGTAGAGGTGAACATTAGCCTCGTCCGTCATGACCCAGCCACCCGTAGCTATTTCCAGTCTGCCCGACGACACCAGCTCCTTCAACTGCTGCCTCAGCGTCGGGTGCGCTCTGTGGATCATTACACTCTTAAAGTCGGGAATCAGGGCAAGTTTAAGGAGGAAAAACTTCACAAAGCACTTGCCATGCAATACCAACTACACAAATGTGGAAAAAACACTAATGTATGGCATAGTTTAGGGCAGGAAAATACCTAATGGAAATAAGCCACTTTGCCTGACTCTTTTTTGGGTTATCCTACGAAATTTACACACGTTACTAGGTATGATAACTCATGAAATCGTAATGACACGATTGCAAACAAAACCATACCACAGGCTGGGCTTGAACCCGCAGTTAGTCGTAAAACTCCACACCGCGTTAGCCCAGTGGCTAACGCGTCAGTTTGGAGCTTTACAACTCTAACCGCGGGTTCAAGGCCCCCGCCCGTAGTATGGTTTGTAGGTATGATAATTGTACTGTACCCAAATAAACTTACTTGCACCGCCCATGAGCTCTAAGCTGCACTGAGAAAGAGGCACTAGACTCGCACCGAGTGTCCGTGGTTCAATCCCCGGCATGGGTGGAATACACCTGCTGTCCCTGTTCACCTAACAATAAGTACCTGGGTGTTAGTCGACTGGTGTGGGTCGCACTTTGGGGAAAAGACTAAACGACACCAATGGCAATAAGACAGTTCTTGATGGCGCATTGACTTTCTTGGGTTACCCTGGGTAGCTAACTCCCTGGGTTAAAAATCCGAACATATTTTATCCTATCTTAACATACAACCACAACAAGGAAATATGTGAAGAAAAATAAGGAGAGTATAAGATCACAATACTAATATTTTTCATAAACTTTTCCAACTAGTTTTTTTTTTACTCTGAGAAATTAACATATCTACGTGAGTAAAATTAACACTATTAAACTGAACTGAAGTTCATTAGCATATTACTTAAGCAATTCTTTAGTAATATTTTACCACTGTTAATGTCTACACTACATTTTACACGTGTATCACAATTATACACGTCTAGAAAGTAACAATATATTAACGTTATATTCCCCATTTATACCGTCTAATATTAAAGTACGACAATAAATCCAAAGTATCTCAGTGCGGCCAGCTGCCCAGCCACCCATGCACCAAGATTGCTGAATTAACACAACACACAAAAACTTATAATGAAAACATAGACACTTGCCTTCTGGCAGCCTCGCCATCCTGTGTTTCCCAGGCTCATACCACTGCAATAATATTATGCTTGCATACACCCGCATATCATTATGAGGCGAGCTTACCACACACTCCAGGTAGAAGCTCGCAAGAGGAACAGCTGCCAGCTTCCTCAGATTGCAACATATATCACTTTGCTCTCTGGTGGTTTTCGTTAAATGTTTTGACTTCATGAATAACGCGGAGCATTTCATTTTATTTGTTTTTGTTAAATGTTTGACTTTATGAATAAGGTGGAGTATTTTATTTTATGTAATAAAAGATTTATTTTATTTTTAAACAATCAACAGCACTGACTAATTTGGAAGGTACAGCTTACCGTATAAATATACGACGGATAGACAGAATATCCCACAGCCACAGAAGGCTAGACAGATTACGATGTACTACAGAGGAGAGAATGTACTACAGAGGACAGGAGAGGCAAGAATGTAACACAGTAAACAGAAGGGGAGGAAATATATTGCAGAGGACAATGGGAGGATGAGGATGTACCGACGGGAACTGAGATAACATGATAAAATATACCAAGCAAGATATCAGTACTTGTGAACGAAAGAGGAAACGGAGGAAATAGTGACGCTACTAATCAGAAACCAGTGAAGTTTTGAAGTGAGAGGGATGAACAGGATAAGTTTATTTCATAGCATAAATTTTGGGTCACCATAGTGGTTTAGTTTAATATCTTAATTATGCACCCCATACCCATTCGTGGGAGGTAGTAAATCATCGGGGGGGCAAACTATGGCCCGCGGGTGCATGCGGCCCACCAAGACAATTTTACCGTTATTTGGGGACAAAATGTTAGTAAATTTGAAAGAAAAGTTACCACGCAACACCAAATAATATTGTGGAACATTAACACGTTACCCGCAAATGGCGGGTAAATTTCTGAATGTGGCGCCTGCACTGAAATGTTTGCCCACCCTTTTATCTTACTGTTAACATGTACTTGAAAAGGGTTTCTTTCCCAAACAAAATATTGTTTAAAAATCGCTTTACCATATTTTTTTAATCAATGCCCCAATGGCTTTTCCCCCGTTTTAAAAACTGTTCAAAAGGTGCATAATGAAAAAAATTGAGCCAACTATAATTGCTCTTTCTACCTCCCAGTTTTCAAGGGAAAAATTTTTTTTTACCTCACTTTTTCAATAAAAATTCGCCGTACACTTTAAATTTCCGGACATAATAAATATTTACATTTTAATATTGGTTCCCTTTTTTTTACCGCCACATTTCCACTGTCGTTGAGTAGTTCCTCCTCTTTTTTTTTTTTTTTTTTTTTTTTTTTTTTTTTTTTTTTTTTTTTTTTTTGGTCATACACTGAACAAACGTGACAATCCTTCAAACATTTAATCCTCACCTGCTTTCAATATTTACCTTCGCCCCATCCATTACCACCAATTGCTCCAATGATCAAAGATATTAGAATCTAAAGGAAAAATAACCTATAACTTCTTAACTTTATGATGTGAGTGTTAATTATGAAATCAAAACATGCATCATGGATAACCTCTCCTAATTGAGAGGTAGAGCAGTCAGCTCACGACTGAAAGGACCCGGGTTCAATTAACCAAACGAGGTGAGAAGCTTGAGCAAGTCTCCTTACACTTGTTATCCCTACTCACCTTGCAGTAAATATATATATTTAGGAACTAATCAACTGTTTGGGTCACATCCCAGGGAGAGGGTCTAAAAAAGAAGGAAGGACACATTATTTGGAATTTAATCCCTGAGAGTTACTAACCCAGAATAACACTTCTCTTCTTTTTTTTGTAGACTGTTGAACTTACAAGTTAAGAGTTATCCTACCTCAGCTTATTTCAAAGCGAAGCCCCAGGATGCGGCCCAAAACAGTCAAGTAACACCCAACACTGCTAGGTGAACAGGGGCAAGATATTTCTACCCCTGCCGGGGATCAAACGAGGGACCTTCAGTATGTCAGCTGAGGGGACCACTAACTGAGCAACGGGGCTTTTCCCCAGGATGTAGCTCACAACAGTCTGCTAATGAACAGGGTTAAACAGGCGCTATCACGGTTATTAACCAGACCGTTAATTCTTCAACCCGAAGACAAAGGAGTCTCAATTTTGGCTTACCTTTCGTACCATAGAGAGAGGAAGGAAATTTCTGACCATATGAAGGTCATGTTGGTGTGCAACCTGAGTTTCTCTATCATATTCTGAAGGATCTTGCTGGTCTGGTGGAAATAATACTCCTCGTAGGTCTTGAGCCATCCAGGATCATTGTGAGAGTGCGGCATCAAAAACACCTGTCGAGGAAAACAAAAATTGTAACTATTTACAGTAACTTCCTTATTCATCTAGTCTTTATTTAGACTTTGGTTATGTAACATACAATAAACGCAAAATAAATGTAAAACACAGTAAATGTAAAATACAATAAATGTAAAATATAATAAACGTAACATGCAATAAAATACAATGTTCTTGAGAGGAATTGAGAAAGGTTTTAATATTTAAGGGTTGACAACCTCACTTGTGTAGTTATGTACCTCTCAAACTTGTAGTATTTAGCATATTGTTCTAATAACCTCCCTGTACCATCACTATCCTGTAAACTTGTTTACAGGTATATAATTATGTATACAAGATGGAATGGTAGAGGAAGTAGAATATTCAAACAGCTTCCTGGAGGTTACCTGGAGGTTATTCCGGGGATCAACGTCTCCCGGTGGATCAGGACCTGATCAACCAGGCTGTTACTGCTGGCCACACGCAGTCCAACGTACGAGCCACAACCTGGCTGATCCGGCACTGACTTGAGGTATCTGTCCAGCTCTCTCTTGAAGGCAGCCAGGGGGTTATTGGTAATTCCCCTAATGCTTGATGGGAGGCTGTTGAACAGTCTTGGGCCCCGGACACTTAAGGTGTTTTCTCTTAGTGTACCAATGGCGCCCCTACTTTTAATTCAAGGAGACATCTCAGCATTTTTCTTTTATATATTTTTCGGAGGCTATGGGTCCCCACACCTGCACTCAGACTAGAACCCAAACTTTAACCTACAACAACCTAATAGTCAAAGAACGTGGCATTTCAAGTGGGAACTAGTCAAGTCAGTGCCTGACTATGCGGGCCGTGGCTCGTACGTTGGAGTGTACGCGGCCAGCATTAACAGCCTGGTAGTAAATGGTAAGATACCGACAAACTCTGAAAAAGAACACTTTTGTATAGTTCAAGACATTTATTAAAGGAAACGTTTCGCCCTAAACTGTACAAGTGTCCTTTTCCACAGTAACAGCCTGGCTGATCAAGCCTTGATTCTCCAGGAGGCTTGGTGTGGGTCTAGGCCGCTGGGACACTGACCCGGACAAACCGGGACATTTCTAAGGTTTTGGAATAAAAAAAAGTACATGAAGTACTATGTAGGTATATTGTGTGCGATTTTTCAGTTTTTGTTTAGGCCTCGATCATACTTTTAAACTTTTCCAATTGTTCTATATAAATTTTACCCTACAGTAACCAAATAATGTCAAGCAATGATTATTTCCATTGCAACACAAGATACGACAAAACTTTTCATGCAATGTGATTTATCCACAAGTAAGAGGTAAGTTGAAGATAAGTGATGAACAATTTTTTTTTTACCGAAATGGTGCTGGAGAAATCGTTAAAAACAAGGGTAATTCTGGTAAATAAACTTCCGGAGTTCATTTCTCAAGGGATGGGAATAGTTACCCATTCATTGACCATGTTAGTTACGTTTTCTGTGAACACTGACTGACTTGTGTGTGGTGATGGTTAACTATAATAGATGGCTGGGGTGAAGTGGTGGTGGGGAATGCTGAGTCGTACTCACCGAGTTGTGTTCATAGGTGTCGAAATTCATCTCCTATGGAGATGACACACCTCTTAACCTTAAAAATGAGCAGACATATATTGGATTCTGGCCTCATGAACTATCAGTTGGCAACGCACTCACCTCATCAGTGATATCAGTGGTTCAATCCCCGGCATGAGTGGAAATGTTGGCGACAATATTAAAGAACCACAATAAAAATAACATATGCAGTCCTCGATGACGCACTGATTTTCTTGAGTTATCCTGGGTTGCTAACCCTCCCCAGAGTTAAAAATCCGAACAAATCTTATTTTACTATTTAAGTAGTGAACGCAGTTTGACACTACCTCAACTACTTTCCATCCCAATGGCACGTATATCCTAGCATATATACGGGTTATTTATGTTCTTGCCTTCCAATTATGCATTCTCACCTCTGTGCCTCATGCATCAGTATCTTGTCTGACTCACGAAATTGTAATAACACGATTGCAAACCACAGAACTGGCCTGAGTTTTAACACACACTTGCCATGGGTTCAAACCCCACCCGTTCTGTAGTTTATCCCTGTCTGCTCTATCCAACTCTCCAAAATATTTTGTGTAGGCCGTTATTATGTTTTCCCCTGGTCCTTCTCTCTTCCAAGGTTGCCAGTTTTAGTTTTTAAGTCTCACCTCGCAATTCAACCCTCTCTGTTTTGCAATTAGCCTAGTCGCAAACTTCTTAACTTTCTCCAATTTTTGTACGTACTTTCTCAGATGCGGACGCCATACTGGCGCTGTGTATTTGAAGATATGTCTGACATACGTTGAGTACAATGTCCTGACGTGATCTCTTTTTGTGGCAATTCTAAGATTTCATAGCCTCGCCTGAGCTGATATGGTTTACATACGTCTGTCGATGTGTTTGACGTAATAATCATTTCCGGGTCCTTCTCCTTATTTGTTTTCTACAACTTCTTCCGTCCCACTGTAGACACGTTGCACTTGTATGTAATAAACTCCAGAGGCTACTCATTTGAGCACTCCTGCTGTCTAAGTTTTCTTGTCTCTGTCTTCTAGTGTTCTTATTCTCGTTAGTTTAACATCGTCAGTAAACAGCGATACAAAGGAAGTGGTGTGCCCGAAGTGGTGTGCCCGAAGTGGTGTGCCCGAAGTGGTGTGCCCGAAGTGGTGTGCCCGAAGTGGTGTGCCCGAAGTGGTGTGCCCGACGTGGAGTGCCCGACGTGGTCTTGATATATATATATATTTTTTTTTGTAAGATTTCGAAAGCACAAAGTCTACCGATTATTCAGAGTTCTTTGGAAATCACGTTTGTCAAGAATATTACGCAACAAATCGTTAATTAAAAAAATCACTAAGTTATGAACATTCTCATTTCTATCTTCGCCGATAATTTTGCTGCTAGGTGATGTGCAACTTTAATGACATTTGTGAAGTCGATAGGCTTTAAGCCTAACAATTCAACCAGCCCGAGGGCAATGAACGTGTTCTTTATGGAGTTATTTATCATGACTTGATCAAGTTCTACATAGAAAGAGACGTTGCTCTAAGAAAAGCATATTCTTCAAGGTCTTTCTTTTCTTCACTATTGTCTACATTACGTTAGAATCTACTTTCATTGTACACTAATGACTTTGGTTCCTAACGCTAACCAAAATTATTTGGACAAAATAATTTAGACATTTTAAGATAATAAGGTGCTATTGTTTTGCTCGCCAGGAAAAAGAACACGTTGTCTCCTGGCACGGGTCTTCTTTGAAGGAGCAGAAGAAATTATTTAGAGGTCGCATTAATCAGCACACGCAACTCCAAGGCAGTTTCATAATCGAAAAGGCGATGACAAACCTCGACACACAGGACACAGCATATGGCATGATACGCCAGTCACATGTAATGGGCCAGACACCTGTAATGGATATCACCAGCAACGGACCAGCAACTTTCAATACCTCAACTTCTCGTACTTTTCCTCAGTACATAATCTATGTAACTCTTGTGTTTTCCACCGACTTGAAAAAAAAAAATTGTACATCAAGTGAAACACTGCCATATTAAGGTTTCCATACTGCATTAAAATGTACTGCTTGCAACACTAGTGACGGTGTCATAAACTAACAGCTGTTGTAGAGATTATGGCCACAATGTTGTAGTGCCGCAAGCTTGCAACAGACTGCGTTCCCATTGCATTCGTCAGGCTACACAATACTACACACACGCCACACACGAGCTGTGATTCGACCCCTGCAACTACATATAGGTGAGTACACACACCTTTAGAAGAAATGTATGAGAATATACTAGGACAAACATTAAGAATTATCACGAGGCAGCTACTGGGGCAGAAACAGGACTCTGCAGTCCCCCTCAACAAAAATTGGAATTTGCATTGGGCAGTAAACAAGCAGGGAGAAACAGTTTACGCTCCTAAAGTAAACGAAGTTATGCAACTTAAAAATCTAGGTCGTTCTTACCTCTGCATGTGAAGCTCCTGCCGCACTACAGTCACGTGTGACATCTACGTGTATAGAATGTATAAGGGTTATATCCAAAGGCACAATGCGCAGGAAAACTTTTTATTGGGACTACGTTTTGCTCTGGGTACAGCTTTATCCAGTCGTGACTCTGATGCCGATGTTCACTTAGCAGCAAATAGTCTTAGTTACTTTAATGGGTGGCAACCTGGGGAAGAGGATCAAATATCACCAAGGGAGTAAGCCATACTGCTTGATCTTTCCTTGGTTATCGTGGATAACTCACCAAATGTTGTCCCAACAGCAGTTTGTTTTAGTGTGTATACCCAGCCATGTGTGTTTTTAAAAAGCAAGGCTTCGAACCCAGTTATTATTCCTTTCAAGTTTAACTATCAACAGTATACAGGAGAATTTTCAGCAATTCATCTGAGTTGTATTTAATGAACAGGAGATTTGTTTCAACACACTGTTGTGCCTTCTCTAAATTTACTTCGTTTGTGAACAAAAACTGCTGCAAGCTGCCTGGAATTTAGTCAACTGCATTTTACTAAATAAACTTGTGTATACAGTCGAGCTTCAAATTACTAAATTTCAAAAGCATTAAAGTTTGAAAAAATATGAACGCTGATGTGTAACTGAATTTATGTCTGTACAAGCGTTTTCAATGTTTCCGTCTTGAAGCGAAAATTGCTGAGAAGCTTACAGACTTGTATCATTCTATGCTACGTGATAATTACACCTAGCATAGATTTAGATGTGTGCTGATCTTTTATAAGGGTGCTGAGTGTACTACTGCTGATTTGCACAACGATAATTTTATGTTGAAAGACGGTTGGGAGGAGGGGGGGGGTTAAAGCCTTTAAAAATAGCATATGGTAGTAATGCCACAAGATGAATTACAGCTGCTAGAGTAATTGTTGTAAGCGAGTTCAGTAAGACTAGAACACCTGACCTATAACTCTTCCTCTTGTTCATTAGTCAAGGTATGTAAACTTTTC